TCAGCAGTCTCTGGAGTGCTCTCGAGGGGTTTGGTGCCCACACACTGCTCAATCGAGGCCTTGAGTTCCATTATCACTGGTAACAGGGGAGTGCGGCTGGGGCGGGGTGACACTTCCCTTCTCCCAGCCCCACCATGCCAAAGCCAGCTGGAAGAACCAATCTCCAGGTCTCCAGGTCATATTGGCACATATGACCTTCACTGATCAGGTACCCTGAGCCCTCCTCTGCTCACACCTCAAAGTTAAGTCAGCAAGGAATCAACCACGACCTGCTTCAACTCAGGACAGGGAACAGCAGAGGCCTTAGTCATGACTCAGCCACACAGGACTCATCCAACTCTCCTCCGGCACATGCCACACCTTCAGCTCTTCTCCTCCCCTCTGACAGCATGTTTTCAAACCTGTGTCACACATTGCCACAGGCACCAAGAGCATTTCAAGCCTGACAGAGCAGAGTCAAGGACTGAGAGGGGTGGTGATGCTCACAGGCAGGCTGTGTTGCCAGGTCCTGGCTTGCTCCATCATAGAGGAGAGCAGGAAACAGCATCCAGGCCAGGACACAAAACAGGAGAGACTCTCACTTCTCACAGCTGAGCCCCAGGACCCCACCACCCAACCTGGGCTGCTGAGCACCATCCCATCATTGCCACTGGGGAGACTCAGGTCCCAAAGCAGAGCTAGACAGAGAACTCTTGGACTCACATCAGGGTGCTGGGAAGAGGTCCACGAAAGGATCCCTGGCTTCTGAGAGTCTTTCCCCAACCCATCCTACAACAGGCCACTTCCAGGGGTTCTCTTACCTTGGTAGAACTGAGTGTTTCCCAGAAAGAGGGTGCTGTTGAGGATGGCCAGGGCCCAGCAGAGGGGCATCAGGTAGAGGATGCAGACAGAGCCCAGCAGCGCCCCATAAAACCTGGGAAGGAGCAGCAGGACACTGCGGTCAACACACATCAACTGACACAAGAGCAGAAACCCCGCTCCTTCACCTGGCCCTCCACCTGCCCTCTTCAAGTACCAAACACACCTCCGCAGGCCTGCCCAGGCCTCTCCCCCCGCTGGGCCCACCGCA